ATATCTAATCTCTTGATGATACTTTTAGCTAAATTGTTATTTAATTTTGTATCTTTCATTTCCAGGAGTTCAAATTGTTTTTTTTTCAGAATCTTTTTCTCTTCATTGAAATTGTATTCCTTAGATCTATGTTTAGCTCACTGAGCATTTTAATAATCCATTTTTGTAGTCTCTGCTGGAATTCCATCCCTGTCTCTATCTGCACATGTTCAAGATCTGGATTTTGTTGATCTTTTCATATTTATATGCATATGTACAAAATTGATCATATTTTTCTTTAAATGCATACATTTTATTTAATATTAATAGTGCCAAAATTAAGTCATTTCAAAATCTAAAATGACAAACTAAAGTTATTTTAAAAAATATTAATAAATTTTGCAGAGGAAATATAATAAAGGTAACTCAATAATTTGACCTGTAAAAACTCAAATTACCGTAGGTAATACTAAGATAAATCAGATAGCCAAGAATATCTGACTAATTAGACAATGTTGACAGGAATTAGGGCACTCCATTTCTACCAGGTTTGTTTTGTTTTGTTTTGTTTGGTCTTCATATATAGCACACATATAGTTTTTATGATTAGATATCTCTTGTAAACACAATAAAAACCTACTGAAATTGAAACAATGCTTGGGTGAATATGAATATGTCACAAGATCTCAGTTTTATGTATAATTATAACAAACCAATTAAAAAATATAAGGGATACCAATAGTAAAAGAGTACTGGGGAAGGGAGCAAGGAAGGGAACGGGAAAATACCCAGGAGCAAAATGTAGTCAATTGTCAGTATATTATATACATTAGTGAATATGTCACAATGAACTACACTATTATGTATATTCATTATGTACTAATGAAAAAAAAATTACATCAAAGTGGATATGATTATGTTGATCAAGTTATATATAAGAATTGAGAAGACATCTCATTATTGCTCCATGAAGAGAAGAAAAAACAATTTCAAATATCACTACTTAATGCAGCGATTTAGAATAATTCTCTCTGAATATTTGAACTAATTTAAGAAAAATTGATATTAGATCTGCTTTAAATGTTTGGTAATAAACCTAAGCAATGAAGCCATCTGATATAAATGTAGAAGTAAGAAATTTTCGTGTTGTATTATACAGTAGAGTGACCTCATATAAGAAGTCTGTATATATTTAAATGGTAGGAAAACATATTTTGAATATTTTCACCATAAAGAAATGAAAAATATTTAAAGACAGCTATATTTCAGTTGATTTAAATATTATACAATGTGTATGTGTAGTTAAATGTCTAATGATACCCAGTTAAGAGGCATGATTTTTGTGTTTTTCTTTTATTTTTTTAGTATACATTAATTATATGTATTAGTGGAGTTCAGTGTTAGGTTTCCATACACACGTGCAGCTTGCACTGACCAAATGCAATTCACTTCCCTTTGTCCTTCTTCCCCCAACACACTTTCAAACATCTACTAGTCAGTATTTTATATTTAGTCCCATTTCTTAGTTTCCAAACATGAGATACAACATTTAGTTCTTGCATTTTTGTGTTTGACAAATTTAAATTTAATTTAATTTAAAAGAACACTTTTATTTAAAAAAATTAATTTTTACCAGTGACATGATTCAGGTGAGGTTACTTGTCTTCTTGTTCTAATTTTTACAGTACACAACAGTTGATATCACTCTTAACAAAGAATTCCCTATAGGTATCTAAAATAAATTATTTCCATGAAACTTCTGTTATGTGAGTAGGTAATTTTACTCAAGAGACCACTTTTGTTGGTGCATATATGTCAAACTGATAGAAAGTACTTCCACAGATACTGCCTCCACCCAATATGGATGTCATCCCAGGCACACATCAGAAGAGAAGACTTAAACAGAATCTGATCTAAGAGGAAAAAAGTGTGTTTAGTAAGTCATTCATCTCTTTGATCTTCTCCTTTAAGATAATTCTGAAAATATTTCTTTGTATCTATTTTAATTATACCCACTACCTTTGGAGTTGAGAATGGATTCATTAGCTCCTAACATTGTCAGAACAGAATTCAGGTGTTTTGTCCTCCCTGTTCCTAATGGAGTTTCTGTGGTCTTAAAAATAGTGCACACAACACCAAAATCCACTGCTACAGAGATGCTCTCAAGTCTATGTACCTAGATCACATTTCTGTGATAAATACTCAATGTGACAATCTTCAGCTATTCTTGTTCAAACAATCTCTCCTATTTTATATAATTATTTCATATCAGAGAAACAGCATTCTGTCAGATAATAGTTCACATAGAGATAGAAGAAACAAAGGTTATATATTAAGTGACATTACCATAGAAATAGTATTAAAACCCTTAACCCAAGTAAGTGAACATAAGTGAGTAGAACTTAGACTTTCTCCCTGCATACTTTACTAAGTATGTATCTATTAAATTGTCTGAGTTCAAGATTTTCTTTGTAAAAATAAAAATACTAACAACCTCAGAATTTTAGGACTATTTCATAGAAAAACATTATAGAAGAGCACATATATAGAAAAGGATGAAAACTGTGTTGCTTATTTTCATAATATCTCATATTTATAAAAGAACAACAAAATGTCTCATTTCCCTAATTTTTCAATTTTAACGTATCCAGAATTATATTTACTTTTTTAGGAGAATTTTGTGTTTAAAGTAAAAATTTCAAAAGTGCTTTAATAGAAAGTCCTTTTGCCTCTTACACATCTTCTTATAGCATTATTAACCACTTTTGGGAAGGGCAGAGTGAAGGATGAAAATGATAAGTTCCTGGAAAGCAAGAAATATGTCTGATATATTCTTTCAATCTTTATTCTATAAGATTGTTGAGTATGTGTATGTTAATTTAGAAAAAAATGTAAGTAGTATATATTTTAAAGAAAATGATGTTATATATTTGCTTACAGGAAGCACCAAAAATACATGAACTTAAAATAATGAAAATTAATTTATAAAGTCAAAAAAAGAGAAAGAAGCTATAATGTTGCTCAATGTTGTACATATCTGTGCAATAAAATTTCTGTCAAATTAGTTTTGGGAATTTTACTGCTTTAAATACTACCACAAGGAACAGAGGAGAAATCACTAATAGTCATTAACATTCACTGAGGACTAAAATAATTGAAATTTTCTGTATGTTTTATGGTTCATCTTACACATCTTCTTATAACATTACTACTGTCACTCTGAATCCTCTTTTCACAAATTAGGAAGTTAAAACAGAACGAGATTTAGATTAGTAGATCAACAAGAACTAGAGTTTGATTACAGACCATTGTGTGACTAAGTAAAAGGTCAATGACTATTCCATTCTAAAAATTCTCCTACAAGTTGGTTGCTAATAATAGAGTAATATAATTAACCTACTAATATTATGACTATATTAACAATTCCAAAATTTATGAGAAAGGAATATGGTTTTTGTTGCTAAATTGTTTCATAGGAATGTACAAAATCATCTGTTTAGCAATATCCATTGTCAAGCACAGTTGAAATATTGCTTTTTCTACCCAAAGTATAGAACTAGTTGTTTAAACATTATTCTAGGAAAAGTGTGCATTGATATGAAATTGAAATTCAAGATAAAGTTCAGATATTTCAAGTTTCTCAATGCTTATAAACCATGGCAATTTCTTGAAAAATTTGGTACATCTTTTCTATTATAAAAAATATGTCAGTGGGTTGTGAGAGTATTATAATGTCTCCTTTCTCATATTAAGTATGTATGTTACTAACAATATTATATTTAAAAAGTTTTTCTCTCTTTCTATCCTTAATCCCTAATTTAAGCCTCTGAATTCCCAGTGAAAGGGAAAGGAAAACTAGTGCTCAGGATGAAACCCTTGTTCAATTCATTGTTCACCTGTTCTCCTTGGCTGTTCTATTTCAAAGAATAAAAGATGAAATACACAATGGAGAATCATCTTTCCTCTCTATAGCTTGAGGAGTATTGTTCATTTACTTAGGAATTAATGCAAGCCTTGTCATTACTCTATTTGGAGAACAATCTATGATGACATGTTTACTCATCACTAATAGTCAAACATTGGTCTTGTTCACTCATGTGGCATTTATTATCTTAGAAAACACAGATAGAAAACATCAGTATCTCCTCTGGTCAGAAATCATAAAATTTCAAAACCTAAGCAATTTCTAAATCCACCACTAGTTGAAGATAAATATTTACTAATGATAAGCTGGAATTATAAAGAACTTCCATTCAGAGTTCATTAAATCAGAATCTCAGTTTTAGTTGCCTTCAACTTTGAACAATCCATTTTTGATGACACTACACTGTTATTTTTATCTAATAAACTTAATATGCCACATGAATTCCATTATACTTTAGATTTTAATTAATAAGAGATTATGTGCCTGATTTTACATCAGATCTCCATATCAAGATGTTTATTATACACCTTTTTTATAGCTTCTCTCATAAAGGTTTTCCCAACATGTTTAAGAAGGAAAGCCTAAAATTTTACCTCAGGGTGTGTAATCTAAGGCTTGAAGTAATCATTACACATAATACAGGAAAGCTATAATGATGCATCAGGTTATTTCTACAGGATTTCAATACCATTTGACTGTCATCTTCCTGAATATGTGACCTAATTTTTGTTGTTTTTAGCATGATGTCTGCTACTCTATCCAGATTCCTTTAACTAGCATAGTGGAAAGAAGCTAGTGACCAAGTAGCATCACAACTCTATTTCTAGACTTCACCTTCACTGTCCTGTTTTCTTGACTCTCAACCCAACACTGGATAACAATCCGATATAAGACCCCTTAAAAAGCCATTTTCAGGCATTATTTGTATTCTCTTTTACAAATAACGCCATTTTCAGGTGAGGAATATTTCTCTTTAACTGCAGATAAAGTTGCTAAATTTTGTTATGAACACTAAACTCTAAAAATTAATGCCCATTTCTCATCCCACTAATGGATACTCTAAACTCTCCAGGTTATTCCAGAGGACACACTGAATAAAATGGATGGAGGAAACCAGTCCACAGTGTCAGAATTTGTGTTTCTGGGACTTGTTCACTCATGGAGTATTCAGGTCTTACTCTTCATGGTATTTTTGATGCTTTACCTGATCATTGTATCTGGAAATATTGTCATTTTGACCTTAATCCTCACTGACCCTCATCTTCATTCTCCCATGTACTTCTTTCTGGCCATCTTGTCCTTTGTTGATATGTGGCTGTCTTCAGTCACCACTCCTAAGATGATTGCTGACTTTCTCAGGGAGACTAAGACCATTTCCTTTGCAGGTTGTATGTGCCAAATTCTATTTGTCCATTTAATTGCAGGAAGTGAGATGGTGCTCCTGGTGGTTATGGCTTATGACCGCTATGTGGCCATCTGCAAACCACTCCACTACTCCACCATTATGAGCCTGCAAAGGTGCATTGGGCTGGTGTTGACATCCTGGACTGCGGGCTTTGTGCATGCCATGAGTCAAATGGCTGTGATTGTGCAGCTGCCTTTCTGTGGCCCCAGGGAAATAGACAGCTTCTTCTGTGACATACCACTGGTGATCAAGCTGGCCTGCATGGATTCTTATGACTTGGGAATAGTAATGAATGCTGACAGTGGAATTGTGGCTGTAACTTGCTTTATCCTCCTGCTGATATCTTACACATACATTCTTCTCACTGTTCGCCAGAGCTCTAAAACTGGTGCATCTAAAGCCCTGTCCACCTGCAGTGCCCACGTCACAGTGGTGATGATTTTTTTTGTGCCCTGCATCTTCATCTATGTGTGGCCCCTCAACATTACCTGGTTGGACAAGTTTCTTGCTGTGTTTTACTCTGTTTTTACACCACTCCTTAATCCAGCCATTTATACACTGAGAAATAAAGAGATGAAAAGTGCTATGAAGCGATTTAGAAACTACTATATGAATTCCAAAGGAAATACATAATGCTGAGAGAACCATAAGCAACTCAAATTGCAAATACTTGACCTCATAAAATAGTTTAAAATTCAAAGATCCTGTTTATTTATTTAATAAAATATAGGCAAATTCCACATTTGTTAATCAGCAAGTAGAACACTACTAATCATTACTCTAAAATTCACCCTAATGATCTGTCTACATAATAAATCTCATATAATCAGTTTTCCTGTGCTTTTAACCTTTTAAATAAAAATCTGAAATTTATTTTAGAAAGGCATGCCTCTCTTTTTGGATAGATAATATCTTTTTTATTCTTTTTTCATTGATTTTTTAAAAAATAAATGACAGTAGAATGTATTACAATTCTTATTACACGTATACAGAGCAATTTTTCATATCTCTGATTGTATATAAAGTATGTTGATATCAATTTGTGTTTTCATACTTGTACTTTCGATAATGATGTCCATCACATTCCATTGCCCTTGCTAATCCCCTGCCCCTTTCCTTTCCCTCCTATACCTTTTCCCTATCTAGAATTAATCTATTCCTCCCATGCTCCCTCTCCCTACCCCACTATGAGTCAGCCTCCTTATATCAGAGAAAACATTTGACATTTGTTTTTTAGGGATTGGTTAACTTCACTTAGCATTATCTTCTCCAAAGCCATCCATTTACCTGCAAATGCCATGATTTTGTTCTCTTTTATTGCTTAGTAAAATTCCATCGTGTGCATATGCCACATTGTTTTTTTATCCATTCGTCCACTGAAAGGCTCTAGGTTGGCTTCACAGTTTAGCTCTTGTGAATTGTGCTGATATAAACATTGATGTGGCTGTGCCACTGTAGTATGCTGTTTTTAAGTCTTTTGGGTATAGACTGAGGAGAGGGATAGTGGAGAAAAGATAGCATCTTCAACAAATGGTGCTGGAAAAACTGGAAATCCGTGTGCAACAAAATGAAATTAAACTCCTATCTCTCACCAGACACAAAACTTAACTCAAAGTGGACCAAGGACCTAGGAATTAAACCAGAGACTCTGTGTCTAATAGAAGAAAAAGTAGGCTCTAATCTTCATCATGTGGGATTAGGCCCCAACTTCCTTTCCTTAATGAGACTCTTATACCACAAGAATTAAAACCAAGAATCAATAAATGGTTTGGAATCAAATAAAAAAGTTTCTTCTCAGCAAAAGAAATAAACTGTGAGTCTACATCCTGGGAGCAAATTTTTATCCCTCACACATCAGATACAACGCTAATCTCTAGGGTATATAAAGAACTCAAAATGCTAAGCACTGAAAAAACAAATAACCCAATCAATAAATGGGCCAAGGATCCAAACAGACACTTCTCAGAGGAGGATATACAATCAATCAACACATATATACAAAATTGCTCATAATCTCTAGTAATTAGAGAAATGCAAATCAAAACTACTGAAGATATCACTTCACTATAGTCAGAATGTCAGCTATTATGAAGACAAACAACAATAAGTATTGGTGAAGATGTAGGGAAAAAGGTACACTCATACATTGCTGGTGGGACTGCAAATTGGTGCAGCCCATATGGAAAGCAGTATGGAGATTCCTTAGAAATCTGGGAATGGAACCACCATTTGACCCAGTTATCCCTCTCCTCGGTCTATACCCAAAAGACTTAAAAATATCCTACTATTGGATAGAAAATATCTTAATTTATTTCTCTTGAATTTCCTCCTAGTTTCATTGGGGGAGGGGACCACATTTTCTTAGCATTAACATCTCCCTCAAAACTTCCATATACATTTTGTCAGGACCCAAGTGAATTATTATTTTTTCCCTAATGTAAATTTACTTCTAAATATTAATGCCAAGAAGCAAGGAAATATCAACAAAAGATGAATAAGGTAATATACTTCATACTGAATAACAGTGGATGTAACTTCTATGTAAACTTTAATACTCAATAAAATTTAAAACAAAGAATGGAAACTATTGCTGTTTTTCTTGGTTATCTCATTCTCAAATATTCATGTTTATATTTAAAGTTTTAATTCTTTATGTAAAATGTAGATTTGAAATCTCCCTAAAATCTGGAATCAAACCTTGCCTGTTTAATTTGTTAAACTGAAATCAGTACCTGCTTTAGTGGTTAATATATATATAATACATATTAAATACATGCATTTTATTTTATTTTATTTTTTTTAAATACATGCATTTTAATCAGTCAATGGTGTCCATTTGTTTGATTCAAATATTCATAACTTTTGGAAAATTTCAATACGTTCCTTTGCATTTTGAAAAATATTTCCCAAACCTTCAAATCATTCACTATTTGTCTTCCATTAGTATAAGTGGATTAAAAATTAATTGTTATATCAATAGTTATTTTCTTCAAAGAAAATATAATTTACATATGCTGATTTTATATCACTTTTTTTAAAGAAAGTGGAACAATACTATGCTGTTATATTCCTTGCCTCACAACTCACTGCCAAATATGTATTGCCTTACTTGATGTTATTATTATATCCAATTTGATAATAAGAAAACAAACCACTGAAATAGGAATTATATTCTTCAAAATAGTACAACTTTAGATTTTTATTTTTCTGGGAAACATCAGATATCAATATGATTTAATAGGCAGCTAATTTATTAAATAATGCTATATAATAAAATAGATAATTTATTTCTCACAAAGGTGGTGAATAAATAGCTATGTGTAGATAAAATACCATAAAATATATACTACTCTAATACAACTTTTAAAATGTTGAAAATGCCATTAATTGTAATCTAGTTTGATCAAAAAGGGTTGTTAAAAATCAATGTAGTCTCCATTGTAAAGCTAAGACACAACTACACATAGATGGTATTAAAGAACTAATGGCTAACTATTGGCTTGTCTCTGCCTTTATCTATAGCCTCAGTTCTACCACAAGGGAAACCAATTTTAAACACTTCACTGTAATTGTATCATTTAAGTAACATTTTCCTGCTTAATATCTTTAAATCTGTGCATGACTTTAGAAGGCAAATCTAAGTGGTAACAACTATTTTGATGGATTTCCTAAATTTTCCTTAGGAAGGTTATAAGAACATAAAATCACAGTTTGCATAGTCCTATAATTGACCATCACAAAATACTCAAGTAGTATATGTTTTCAAATTAAACATTTCATAACATCAATGAGCCACCCTCTCTTAATATTATACAATAATCACAGAGACCAAGTTACCTTAATTCTAACTGGTTTCTGTTAGAATCTTAATAAATACCAATCCAGAGGACTTCTTGATATGCATATTCCCTAGACAAAACTCAAACATCCAGTAGGTAGTCTTTATTTCCAATATAATAAAATGTTGTTTTTTTTACTCAGATGGAAGCATTTCTTCATTGGGTACCAAGATTTCAAACTAAAGTGCTCAAATTTTTGGAAATGTGAAATGAATTTTTTTCATAAGTTCAATAAACTGTAACAATGAGAGAATCTACTCCCATTCACATATCTTCATTCCCAAATGGAGGGAATGAAGAGACATAAAGAAAATACATAAAGGAATCTTCAGTATGCCATCCATGATTTAGACAAGCTATTGTAGAATGATCATAAATATCTTCAGATTGGTGAATTCTATGGCCATGAGACCAATACTCCATTTGTTGTGCTATAAAATAGATTCCTGGATTCAAAATATTTTTTTTACAGAGTACTGTGACAGAGACAAAGGCATTGCTTAAATTAATAGTTTTGTGCAAGTTAAAATATTATGGTAAGGAATAAAAAGCATATCTAGAATACATATTCACACCATCAAGATAAAATTTTACCTCCTTCTTTATGGAAGAATTTCATTATAATTGATATGCTACTAAGTGACTGACACATTCCCAGTAAACAATGCCAAATTAGTGATTCAGAATGAGACTGTCTTTTCAGTAATAACAGGCTAGATCATGCTAGAAAATATAACCTCAAATTCTAGTAAATTTTTATAGGAACCAATTAAATAAGTTCTCAGGTGGCTGTGAATAGAGACTAACATACATTGAGTTTGGAATTTGTGTACCTAATTATGAAAGCTGCATCTATAGTGAATGCCTGCTGAAAAGTATTCAAATGGAACACCTGTATTTCCACAGTCTCTTTCCATTCTGAGAGTTCTATAACCAGCATTTTCTGAGGATTCTTTGTCACTTATCTGCTAGTTGTATTCATTCTAAATGCTGGCCATCTAACCAAACCATTAACAACTTTTTAAGAATCAATATAAATCTATGCTTACCTCTAGCCAAAGTGAACAATTAAATGTACTGTTTCCACTTCTTCAATGGTACTACCTTCTCTATATCACTCTTTCAAGACCACAACTATAATACCAACCAAAACTAATGTTTTCTCATAATATTTCTCTTAGCAGTGTTAGCAATATTTTACTTCTATTTTCTTCTAGTTGTTACTTCTAATTTGGTGTCTTAAAAATATGTATATTCAGGCTCAAGTTTTAAATTGTCACTCCACTAGTATTAAGGAACACCCTGTTTAGTCAGAGGTATATACTGAGAGACAGAAGGTAATTCAGCAGTGGTGGCTATAGAAAGAGTTAAACCATGAGCAAATGAAACTTAATTATTCCTGTTCATACCTGCTACACTTACTCTCATCCACAATTTTCCACTGGATATTATTACATCTCAATTTTTTGGTTAAAGAGTAAGGTTATTTTGTATATAGGCCAAAATAAGTAGCTTAGATCACATAATTTCTTGATGTTCAACTTTATGCTTTTTGTATCTATCAAACTCCAAAGGGATGCTGATTATTGAAAGTTCACAAAATTTACTGGAGTAGTTTATCACCTACAGTCTGGTTCAAGTGTGTCTGACTTCTAACTATTATACACTATGATTATTCAGAGGAGAAAGGGAAACCTCCATACAGATTCCTGTACTCCTTTCTTAAGCCTTCTTAAACATTCTCCCAACTTTTTATATGACTATGTGTCTTTATATTATACCTAGAGCATCACA